TTCTGCACATGGCTAGCCAGTTTTCCCAACACCATTTATTAAACAGGGAGTCCTTTCCCCATTGCTTGTTTTTGTCAGGTTTGTCGAAGATCAGATGGTTGTGGGTATGTTGTATTTCCTCGTGAGGCCTCTGTTCTGTTCCATTGGTCTATATCTCTGTTTTGGTACCAGTACCATGCTGTTTTGATTACTGTAGCCTTGTAGTATAGTTTGAAGTCTGGTAGTGTGATGCCTCCCGCTTTGTTCTTTTTGCTTAGAATTGACTTGGCTATGTGGGCTCTCTTTTGGTTCCATATGAAGTTTAAGGTGTTTTTTTCCAGTTCTGTGAAGAAGGTCATTGGTAGCTTGATGGGAATAGCGTTGAATCTGTAAATTACTTTGGGCAGTATGGCCATTTTCACAATGTTGATTCTTCCTAACCATGAACATGGAATGTTTCTCCATCTGTTTGTATCCTCTCTAGTCTATTTTAAATTGCTGTGGTCCATGGTGTGAAGGAGGCTCCAGCTCCATTCTTCTGGACACCCAGTTTCCCAATACCCTTTACTGAAGAGACTGTCCTTTCTCCATTGTGTGCTCCTGGCACCTCTGTCAAAAACCAATAAACCATAAATTCATGAACTTAAAAAAAAAAAAATTTATGTGAAATGGGAGCCTGCAGAAATGGCAATCCAGAGATACAGGGAAAATTGTCTGGTTTTATACATAGGTTCAGTGAAGAACAAATAGCTATGTAGAAATGGAACTGGATAAAAGGACATAATCTGATGGCAAAAGACTGTGGGAGGACGGTAACCTAGCAAGCCCTGTGTTCAGATTCTTCTTTGCCTATCTGTGTAGCATTTCCTTACCTTAGGTATAGGACAGGACCCTTCTGAAATGTGGGTCTATGACCAACTTTCAGACAACACAGATCAGATAATTTCTTTTCAATGAGCTCCTACACTGAAATCAGAAGGTTAGGGTGTTTTTTATTTTTTCTTACTTTGGAGACAGGAATTCTATTTTCTATGACTTAACTTGTGGAAGAGAAACTCCAGTTTTTAAGGCCTTCCTTGGGAGAAAAGGGGACACAGAAGAAAGGAAGGTAGAAGAAAGTCAAAAAACCTAGATTCTGAAGACCTTTCAGTCTTATTTGGTTCCAAGCACTCAGTATCCAAGGTACCATACTTCAAGGTATGGTGTTCTGAGCCCCAACATTTCCCCCATCTGAAGCTTTATTGAAAATTTTAAAACTTCAGAGCTGAGCTTGTGGTTGTGGAGGGGAGAATGAAGTTGGAATATGAGTAGCAAAACATCTGCAAAAAGGCAGAAGATATACACTATAATGTTAATAAACAGAAAAGAACAAATCTAAGAGCATTGAACACTAAGCACATAAGAACATATCTAACTAATTCATTAACTCATCATTAAGTCAATAAACATTTTTTGTCAATAAACTACTTTTTCTAGGTGCTCTTTTATACTTTAGAGATATAATTCTGATGTCAAACAGACACAATACCTGTCTTTATAAAAGTTACAATATCAGCATAGCTGTAGATCTAAATACAAACTACTAAGTGATAAGAAAAAGAGGCCACATGGGAATAGAGTAAGTCAAAAGGATATTTTCTGAGAGAAAAGTAATTGAACTGAGATACACTGAGTAAAGTTTTATTAAATTGAGAGTTAAATATACCACTCTATCATATTAGCCTGAACAAATAGAAGATCATGGGAGATTTTATTCCCACTATTAGGTTTCAGCAATACTAGGATAGCAACCAGACCTGATAGACATCTACAGAACACTCCAACACAAATCCACAGATTATACATTTTTCTCAGCACCACATTGCACTTACTCTAAAATTGACCACATAATTAGAAGTAAATCACTCCTTAGCAAATGCAAAAGAACAGAAATCATAACAATTAGTCTCTCAAACCACAGTGCAATCAAATTAGAAGTCAGGATTAAGAAACTCACTCAAAGCCACACAACAACATGAAAACTGAACAAACTGCTTCTGAATGACTACTGGATAAATAATGAAACAGAAATAAAATTGTTCTTTGAAACCAATGAGATGAAGACACAACTTACCAGAATCTCTGGGGCAGATTTAAGGCAGTGTCTAGAGGGAAATTTATAGCAATAAATGTCCATGTGAGAAGCAAGGAAAGGTGTAAATTCAACACCGTATCATCAAAATTAAAAGAGCTAGAGGAACAAGACTGAACAAATTCAAAAGCTAGCAGAAGGCAAGAAATAACTAAAATCAGAGCAGAACTGAAGGAGATAGAGGGGCCCCAAAACCTTTCAAAAAATTAATAAATCCAGGAGCTGGTTTTTGAAAAGTTCAACAAAATAGATAGACCACTAGCCAGACTAATAAAAAAGAAAAGAGAGAAGAATCAAATAGATGCAATAAAAAATAATACAGGGGATATCACCACCAATTCCACAGAAACACAAACTACCATCAAAGATTACTACAAACAACTTTATGCACATAAACCAGTAAATCTAGAAAAAAATGAATAAATGCCTGGACACTTACGCCCTCCCAAGACTAAACCAGAAAGAAGTTGAATCCCTGAATAGACCAATAACAAGGTCTAAAGTAGATGCAGCAATTAATAGCCTACCAACCAAAATAAGCCAGGTCCAGATGGGTTCACAACTGAATTCTACCAGACATACAAAGAGGAGCTGGTATCATTCCTTCTGAAATGATTCCAAGCAATACAAAAAGAGGGAATCTTCCCTAACTCATTTTATGAGACCAACATCGTACTGATACCAAAACCCAGCAGAGACACACTAAAAAAGAAAATTTCAGGCCAATATCCATGATGATCATTAATGCCAAAATCTTCAATAAAAAATTGGCAAACTGAATCGAACAGCACATCAAAAAGCTTATCCATCACAATCAAGTTGGCTTCTTCCCTGGGATGCAAGGCTGGTTCAACATACACAAATCTATAAACATAATCCATCACATAAATAGAACCAAAGACAAAAACCACATGATTATCTCAATAGATGCAGAGAAGGCCTTTGACAAAATTCAACAGCGCTTTATGCTAAAAACTCTTAATAAACTAGGTATCGATGGAACCTACCTTAAAATAATAAAAGCTATTTACAACAAACCCACAGCCAGTATCATACTGAATGGGCAAAAACTAGAAGCATTCCCTTTGAAAACTGGCACTAGACAAAGGTGCCTTCTCTCACCATTCTAATTCAACATAATATTGGAAGTTCTAGCCAGAATAATCAGGCAAGAAAAAGAAATAAAGGGTATTCAAATAAAAAAAGAGGAAGTCAAATTATCTCTATTTACAGATGACATGACTGTATATTTAGAAGATCCCATTGTCTCAGCCCAAAATCTCCTTAAGATGATAAGCAACTTCAGCAAACTCTCAGAATAAAAAAGCAGTGTGAAAAAATTATAAGCATTCCTATACACCAATAACAGACAGAGAATCAAATCATGAGTGAACTTCCATTCACAATTGCTACAAAAAGAATAAAATACCTAGGAATACAACTAACAAAGGACATGAAGGACCTCTTCAAGGAGAACTACAAACCACTGCTCAAGGACATAAGAGGACACAAACAGATGGAAAAACATTTCATGCTCATGGTTAGGAAGAATCAATATACTGAAAATGGCCATACTTCCAAAAGTAATTTATAGATTCAATGCTATCCCCATCAAGCTACCACTGACCTTCTTCATAGAACTGGAACAAACCACCTTAAACTTCATATGGAACCAAAAAAGAGCCCGCATAGCCAAGACAATCCTAAGCAAAAAGAACAAAGCTGGAGGCATCACACTACCTGACTTCAAACAAGGACACAGTAATCAAAACAGCATGGTCCTGGTACCAAAACAGAGACATAGACAAATGGAACAGAACAGAGGCCTCAGAAGCAACACCACACATAAACATAGTAAAAAGAAAACAGATGGCACATATTTTTCCACATGTTAGAACAGCATAGGTACATGGCCACCTATGACCTTTATTTTAAAACATCCAAGAAAAACAGAATTACACTAATAAATTAAAATTTTTCATTATTGTCTAGGGATAACTCTTGCTAACCAGGCTTTTCCTCAACTGTCATACCACAATAATCATCAACACAGAAGAATTCTGTGACCCACAGAAGAATTCTGTGTGGGGATTTCTCCCACACCATGCAGTAGACATCAACTTGGTATCCTCTAATTCAGTTGCAACAGTGTCTATCCAGAGATAGTGTCAGATTCCATAGTTGAGGATTCAGTTTCCCAAAACCAGCCCCCCAACAATACTTGAAGTAGAAGCTGATTTGTGAGAGTATCAGAACCAGAAATAGCAAGGAAAGGAGGGGTTTCAGTCCAGATCTCTGAAATTTCTGACCAACCAGCTTCAAGTTGGAATTTCCATAACCCACTCTTTGGGTTTCATTAAATTACTGAAGCAGCTCACAAAACTCAGGGAAACATGTTACTGGCTTATGATAAAGGGTATTGCAAAGGATACAGGGGAAGGCATGTGTAGAGCAATGCATAAAGAAAGGGGTGCAAAGCTTCCACACCCTCCCTGACCTTGCCACCCTCTAGGAAGGAATTTTCACCTGTTCTGCTATCCAGAAGCTCAATGAAACCTATCCTCCTAGGTTTTATGGAAGCTACAAGGTATCAACATTCCTTCCCCCAGAGCGTAGGGTGGTATTCTCTCATGGGAGAGTCATAAGACTCACAATCAGTAAGGCAAACATTGGAATCCTGCCCTGGGACAAGTGGAAGGAGGGCAGGAGAAGGTAAGAGGCCTGCCCCTGAGGTCTAAAACATCCAACATAATAACAAAAGACTGTAACAAAGGCTATGGGAATTATGAGCCAGGAACCCTAGATGAAAACCAACATACATCATAACATCACAATGACACACTCTTGATATTGTGGTAAAGAGTATCAATCACTCTTAATTTTTTTAAATCTATTTTTTAGTATGAAAGTATACATTATTGGTATCCTGATTTTTTCCAAACATTTTTTTCATTGCCTCTTTTACATCTTTGTTCCTCAAACTGTAGATGATGGGATTCAGCATGGGAATCACAATGGTATAAAATATCGACACTATCATGTCATGCTCCAAAACATAGCTGGAACTTGGTCTCACGTACATGAAGAGGATTGTCCCATGATAAATTGACACTCCAGTTAGGTGAGCCCCACAGGTGGAGAAGATTTTTCTCCTCCCTTCCGCAGAATGCATCTTCAGAATGGCCAACAGAATGAAAAAGTGGGAGATCAGGACAGTCAGGATAGTGACTATCTCAATAGAGCCCACAAAGTAGAAGAGTAGAAACTGGTTTGTGTGAGTGTCAGAACAAGAAATAGTAAGGAGAGGAGGGATATCACAGAAGACATGCCGAATTTCATTGGATCCACAGAAGGACAGGCTAAATGTAGCCACCGTATGTATAGTAGCATGCAGAATACCAGCAACGTAGGAAGCAGTGATGAATGGCACGTAGACTCTGGGTGACATGTTCACTGAATACAGGAGCAGGTTGTAGATGGCTAGCTACATAGTGATCATAAGCCATTGCAGCCAAGAGAAAGCATTTTGTGGTTCCAAAAGCACAAGCAAGAAACATTTGTGTTGCACATCCAATAAATGAAATAGATTTATTTTTTGCCAGGAAATTGACCAACATTTTGGGAGTGACAACTGTGGAATAGCAGACATCCAAGAACGATAAAACAGTAAGAAAATAGTACATGGGGTTGTGGAGCTGGGAATACCCAATGACCAATACAACCAGCCCTAAGTTTCCTATTAAAGTGAAAAGATACATTGCTAAAAATAAAAAAATAGGAAGACTTGCACCTCAAATTCTTCTGTGAAGCTCATTAATAGAAACATGGTGACTTCAGTAAAATTGTTGAGTTGAAGCTTGTATAAATCCATATGTAAAGGCAACTCTGACATTGTAACTATTATTTATATGTTCTAAAGGCAATAGCCTGTGAAAATAGAGCTCATATCCACTTATATCCTCATGTTTGTTTCTTGGAAAAGCAACATGAAATCCTTGTCAGTGAATGCATAGGTGGTGATAAAACTGTGTCCAAATGGATGCATTACTGTAATTAAATAAATTATTTTATTCAAACATGGGCTAAATCTATCTTGTTAAAAATATGTCTATTTAATCTGTTTAATTTCCTGTTCATTTTCTACCAAATGTACTGCCCTCTGTTTTTAATATTGTTTCAAAATTCATAAAGACTGAGTGCTATTCCTAAGTTTTGTAAAGTCTATTGAATGACTTTATTTTCCTAATTTAAAAAATGGGAACAATCGTATCTACATTATAAAATTGGGTTGTATTGAAATGAGGAAAACAATATGGAATTTATTTAATATTTAAATATGTCCAGATAACTAGAAAATGCCATATGTTAGGCTTTCATTAAAATTTGTCATTTGAGACAGTCTTTTTGACCAAACCATTTCAAACTGTTTTTTTTTTTTTTAATTGGCATTTATCCTACTGCCTTACTACTTACAGAATGGTGGCAGACACAAGAGATTTGATTCTAGAGGTAGACACACCTTGTTCGCATACCAAAGTAATTTGGTGTTCATTTTTCATTTATTTTCGTTTTTGTTTTTCACTTTTCTTTCCTGAAACAAACATCACCAATTTGTTCATTTCGGCCTGTGCAGTTTATTTTTAATCATTATTATTTTTCAAATTTTAACAATGCCAATGTCAGATATGCCAATTTATATGATCATTTGATCATTATGCCTGTGAAGTCCTTGGGTATATTTTTGTGATGTATTTATATCAAAAATGAATTATGGTTAGCTTTTTACTATAATTCTTAAATAATTTCTGAGACTTCTATAAAATAAAAAACCATCCAATAACAAGTAATACAATTGTTTTTATAAACTATTGCTAAAACAACACACTTATTACTTCCTTCACCCATTTAAAGTATGTGATTAAATTTGTAATAAACTTCACATTAAATAGAATCCTCTTTCTTATATTTAAATAGTGAGGAACATATTTTAGTCTTAAATTCAAGGTTAGAGCTTCTTTTTTTTATTGCATTTTAGGTTTTGGGGTACATGTGAAGAACATGCAAGATTGTTGCATAGGTACACACATGGCAGTGTGGTTTGCTGCCTTCCTTCCCCTCAGCTATATCTGTCATTTCTCCCCATGCTATCTCTCCCCACCTCCCCACCCCCCCATCCCTCCCCCATTTTCCCCCAACGGACCCAGTGTTTGATGGTTCCCTCCCCGTGTCCATATGTTCTCATTGTTCAACACCCACCTATGAGTGAGAACATGCGGTGTTTGATTTTCTGCTCTTGTGTCAGTTTGCTGAGAATGATGGTTTCCAGGTTCATTCATGTCCCTACAAAGGACACGAACTCATCGTTTTTGCTGGCTGCATAACATTCCATGGTGTATATGTGCCACATTTTCCCTGTCCAGTCTATCACTGATGAGTATTTGCGTTGGTTCCAGGTCTTTGCTATTGTAAACAGTGCTGCAATGAACATTCGTGTGCATGTGCCCTTATAGCAGAACGATTTATAATCCTTTGGATATATACCCCATAATGGGATAGCTGGGTCAAATGAAATTTTTATTTCTAGGTCCCTGAGGAATCGCCACACTGTCTTCCACAATGGTTGAACTAATTTTCACTCCCACCAACAGTGTAAAAGTGTTCCTTTTTCTCCACATCCTCTCCAGCATCTGTTGTCTCCAGATTTTTTAATGATCGTCATTCTAACTGGCATGAGATGGTATCTCAATGTAGTTTTGATTTGCATTTCTCTGATGACCAGTGATGATGAGCATTTTGTCATATGTTTGTTGGCCTCATGTATGTCTTCTTTTGTAAAGTATCTGTTTGTATCCTTTGCCCATTTTTGAATGGGCTTGGTTTTTTTTGTTTGTTTTCTTGTAAATCTGTTTTAGTTCTTTGTAAATTCTGGATATCAGCCCTTTGTCAGATGGGTAGATTGCAAAAATCTTTTCCCATTCTGTTGGTTGCCAATTCACTCTAATCACTGTTTCTTTTGCTCTGCAGAAGCTATGCAGAAGCATTTGTCTATTTTGGCTTTTGTTGTCAATGCTTTTGGTGTTTTGGTCATGAAGTCCTTGCCTACACCTATGTCCTGAATGGTTTTGCCTAGATTTTCTTCTAGGGTTTTTATGGTGTTAGGTCTGATGTTTAAGTCTTTAATCCATCTGGAGTTAATTTCGGTGTAAGGTGTCAGGAAGGGGTCCAATTTCTGCTTTCTGCACATGGCTAACCAGTTTTCCCAACATCATTTATTAAACATGGAATCCTTTCCCCATTGCTTGTTTTTGTCAGGTTTGTCAAATTGTCTCTATTTGCAGATGACATGATTGTCTATCTAGAAGACCCCATAATCTCAGCCCAAAATCTCCTGAAACTGATAAGCAACTTCAGCAAAGTCGCAGGATACAAAATCAATGTGCAAAATCACAAGCTTTCCTATACACCAGTAACAGATTTAAAGAGAGCCAAATCAAGAATGAACTGCCATTCACAATTGCCACAAAGAGAATAAAATACCTAGGAATACAACTAACAAGGAACATAAAGGACCTCTTCAATGAGAACTACAAACCACTGCTCAACAAAATAAGAGAGGACACAACAGTTGGAGAAACATTCCATGTTCATGGTTAGGAAGAATCAATATCATGAAAATGTCCATATTGCCCAAAGTAATTTACAGATTCAACGCTATCCCCATCAAGCTACCAATGACCTTCTTCACAGAACTGGAAAAAAACACCTTAAACTTCATATGGAACCAAAGAGAACCCACATAGCCAAGTCAATTCTAAGCAAAAAGAACAAAGCGGGAGGCATCACATTACCAGACTTCAAAGTATACTACAAGGCTATAGTAATCAAAACAGCATGGTACTGGTACCAAAACAGAGATATAGATCAATGGAACAGAACAGAGGCCTCGGAGGTAACACAACATATCTACAACCATCTGATCTTTGACAAACCTGACAAATCTCTCTTTTTAAAATAGTTTCGCAATGTTTCATGATGTATATGTACCACATTTTCTTCATCTGGTCTACCACTGATAGACATTTAGATTGATTTTATGCCTTTTCTATTGTGAATAAGCACTTCATAATTTGAAAATAATGTTAGTATAAAGAGTTTGTGTCTCTGTAAATCCATTTGCTATATTTGCACATAAATATATTGCCTTTTACATTATTAGTGTTTATCCTCTTTACCGGCTGATTGCAATACGAAATAGCTTATACATCTCATGCTTATGGATGGGTACAATCAATACTGTGAAAATGACCATACTGCCCAAAGCAATCTGCAGATCACATGCAATTTCCTACATTACCATCATCATTATTCACAGTACAAAAAATAAATCCTAAAATTATTATGGGACCAAAAAAAGAGACCCAACAATACTGAAAAAAAAAATCTGGAGGCATCACATTACCTGACTTCAAACTATATTACAAGGCTATAGTTACCAAAACAGCATGGTACTGGTCATTAAATGTGTATAAGGATATATTATTGTGGTTTTGATCTTCAATAATTAAAATCTCCATACTACCCAAAGGGATCTTCAGATTCAATGTATCTTCTGCAAAATCTTAGTGCTAGTTTTTACAGAAATAGAAAAAAATCACAAAAATTATATGCAATTACAAAAGACTTTAAATAGCCAAAGGTATCTTGAGAAAGAAAACAAAGTGGAAACCATCATACTTTCTGATTTCAACTACGTTACAAAATTACAGTAATTAAATAGCATGGTACTGGACTCAAGACAGACATACAGACAAATGGAACAGAATACAGAGCTTGGAAACAATCCCACATGTATATAGTCAAATGACCTTTCACAAGGATGAAAAGAATATGCAATGGGGAAAAGATTATCCCTTCAACAAATGGTGTTAGGAAAAATTGAATATGCATATGAAAAAGAATGAAATTGGACCCATGTGTTATACCATATTAAAAAACCAACTCAAAGTAGATTAAAATTTTAAATATAAAACCAGAACTACCATCTCTATAAGAAAACATAAGGAAAATCTTCAGGACATTAGGCTTGGGAAGGACTTGCTGGATATGACATAAAAAGCCAAGCAACAACATAAAAAGCCAAGCAACAAAACCAAAATTAGACAAGTAAAACTACATCAAAGCTAAAGCCTTCTGCATAGTGAAGAAAACAATCAGCCAAGCAAAAAGGCATCCCACAGAACAGGAGTAAATATTTGTAAATGATATATCTAATAGGGGATTAACATCAAAACATATAAACTCAATAGCAACAGTAACAATAATCTTATTGTAATATAGGCAAAGGACTTGAACACAGTTTTTTCCCAAGAAGACATACAAATGGCTGACAGTTATATGAAAAGATGTTCAACATCAGTAGTCATCAGGGAAATTCAAATCTGAAACATTTGAAATCAGAGGCTAAATAACTGTATTCATGCAATAAGTAGCAGCATGCTGTGCCTTATTCCAGAATCATGTACTTTTGATTATTAAGTAAATCATCATGTTGCTATTTTGACACAGGAGATAATTGGGGCATATTCCTCTTGGGACCTCGCCTGTAGATTTCATCAACGGTTGATTACAAAGATATAAACAATCTAAATGGGTCATATTCATAGAGTACCTAAAACTGCATTTGTTGTTCCACAGGTAAGAGAAAATTTCAAATAATTTCAAGAATATTTTAGCAGCTAGAAACTACAATGTCAAAAAAATATATATGTTGTTTTGTAGTAAACTGTTTAGGTACTAAACACCAACAACAAAACACTTCAGTTCTAGACTATTGCATATGTGAATCAAGTGTATTCATTAAAATATGATTTATTTAGAGTTATGCCTAAGAATTAAAAACCAACACTTACTAGAAAACAAGAAAAAATAGCAAATATTGAATTTATA